CACCTGGGGCCTAGTTGTGGATGTCTGCATCCAGATTCCTCAGTCCTTGGATGGGGTCTCTGGCACAACTATTAGGGTGTTTGGCCATGTTTTCTTATAGCATGCAGGACCACCTGCTCAGGGCGGCACTGCCCACAGTGAGCTGGGCCTCCCACATCAGTAGTAAATCAAGAAAATTCACCATAGGCTTGTCCACAGGTCAGTCTGATGGGGGCATTTTCTCAATCAAGGTTCTGTTTCCAAATGACTCTAGCCTGTGTCAAGTTGACATCAAACCAGCCAGGACAACAACCTAGTTTAAGGTTATTTGGCTTATAAAACTGTTGAAAACAGCCAAGACTTTATATATTTAGAGCTCTACTCTTGTGACAGACTCTTTCCACATGGTGGCAGAAATATCCTTGGGCAACCCAGACCCAAACTCTGCCCCCTCAGCATCCAAAGACAGCCTTCATCTCAAATGACCACGTGGCAGAAAAGTTCCTGGCTGGTCACTGGTAAACTGGGTTTCGGTGGTTGTCCCACCAAGGTATATGGAATAGTGTTTTCCAAAGAAAAGAGCAGACACAGGCAGCAAGCCCAGACAAGACTCTGGGCTCTCAGTGGGTAGTTAATTGTGTACTCACCAGGAGCAGTGAATCATGGAGTATAATAGAGAAGCTCTCATCCCTTCACTGAACTCCTGGGTCAAGTTTAGATTATTTCATTTTCTGTTACTGTTGGATGGTGAACCAATTGTGCTGAATCCTGCTGAATCACAGACTGCTGCTGCTGTGCCTGTTTAAATGTGTATGCTGCTGCATAGATCTGAGAGAAAAGCTTTAGTGTAGCTATGTGAAGAACACATAAACTTGCAGATGAGGCAGAGCACACAAGGAGACCAAAGGACATATTTTGAGGTCAGAATCTGCTGGAAGTTCTCTGGGAAAGACCGGGCATCCTCAAGCCTCCTCAAATTGAACTGGCCTTTGCACAGAGGACCAGATCTGTGAACAATGAACTTACTGCACTTGGCAGTTGAGGTGTCATGTTAAATGTACATAGGTATTGAGTTTATTAGATGTCCTCCAGGTTTGTCATCGGCGGCGCAAAAATCAGCCTTTAACTATGCCATCTGTCTGTATATTTATAAAGGTTCTCACCTGGAGATGTTGGTTGGGTGCAGTGACTTGTTTAGAGATGCCCATCAACAGTGGTGGCTCTTTAGACAAACTGCAAATGCCTTAAACGTTTCATGTCATCATAGAGTATTTTTTCTTTTGCTTATGGCAGGTTTCGGAAGGCCATGTTTGCCATGTTTAAATGCCAGCCTCACCAAGCAATGCCTGAGACAAGATCTGTACCAATGGATATGCCTCGAAGCCCATTGACTCCTGGAAGAATCTGAAGTTCGAGAAAAGAATATACCACCAAACATTTTACTTGGTTGTTTGTTGTTGTTGTTGTTTGTTTTGGGGCAATCCATTAATTTTGTTTTAAATATGAACCCATTTAGATGGAGTGCAGACAAAGACCACTGCCCTATTGGACTGCAGGTCCCTCCCAGGCAGCCAACCCAGCTCTGTCTGTGCAGTAGGTGCCGAAGAGCCACTGTGACCTTGAGGATAAATGAGTCACCAGATCCCCTTTGGTGAGCCCAGGCACACAAAACGACAGTTTCTTTTCCTCTCTTTACAAGGCACACGTTACAGTGTATTGAGAACCTGCAAATGGACTGAGTTTTCCATTAGACAAGAAACAGCCTCTAGAATATTAGAATATTTTAGTCTTAGGAAAAGTTAGTAATAAATTAATCAAGATTACAATTGCTGAAATGAGTTGTTTGATATTTCCAGCTAGATCTGCCTGCCTCTCGCTTCTGAGTGCTGGAATCAAAGGCGTGCGCCACCACCTGGCTCAGTTTGTCATTTTAATACCTGTGACTATTAAACATAGCACAATATACCATGATTGAAAAAGTAGACAACTGAACTGCTTCAGTTTTTTACTTAGCTTTCTTTTGAGACAAGGTCTCCTATGTAGCCCAGCCTGGCCTCAAACTTGCAGTGATCGGCATCTCATTGTCTGGGATTACAAATGTGTACCACCATGCCTGCCTCAACTGTTTTTGCTGTAATAGATACAACACTGGGGACATGTTAATGCAAATATCTTCGTAGGGGTGGGTATCAAAAATTCTATCTGAGTCTTATCCAGGCTAAGGTTATTGGATAGAGATGTAAAAGAATTTATTGTTACTAGCTATCTCTAGATGGTAGGTCTGCATCGTATTGGCCATGTATACACTTTCACTTCATATTCCTTAAAATAATGCTCTATAACATTTCGGAGTTATGAGTTATATACTGTAGTAGGAATTCAGCTTATTTCACATCTCTTTAAGTGCTTGTTAGACTATATATATATGTATGTATTGCCCTCCACCCCTGTAAACTGCCTCCTTAACCCCTTTGTCAGCATAGTAAAACCCTGCCCGCTGGTTTATGAGACCATGCTCTGTGTAGACGATGGTAAGTTGCTATAATGACTTCCGAGTTTGGCTTTCCATCTTCTGCCTTTGCCCACGGCAGTCATACATTAACTCCGTAGCCAGCTTTTAAAAATTCATTCCAGTCCTTCAGATCTTCCAAACCGAACTTTCATCAGCCTGCTGTATCAGTGACTTTTCTTGTCGCTGTGATAAGGGAGGCAGGGTTGACTCAGTTGGAAGGAACTGAGTTCAGCATGCAGAGCAGCCCAGGCAGCTGGTCCCACGGTAACGACAGACAGAAGGCAGAATGACATCGAATCTGGTGTTCTCTCGCAGTCTCCTTTTCAGTCCAGGACCCCAGCTCGTGGGGTTGTGGTGCCCACAGTTAGAGCGACTCTTTCCACCCCAGTTCTCCCGATCTAGAAAGTCCCTCAGACATGCCCAGAGATTTGTCTCCTAGATGCTTCCACATCCTGTCAAGTTTATCACCACACCTGTGAAGGAAGACTGCTTCCCTTAGCTGCAAGGCCAAAGCCTTCCTCAGCCTGGCCCCAGAGAGACTTCCCTCCTCAGCCTGGTCAGAGAGACTTCCTCCTCAGCCTGGTCAGAGAGACTTTCCTCCTCAGCCTGGCCCAGAGACTTTCCTCCTCAGCCTGGTCAGAGAGACTTTCCTCCTCAGCCTGGCCAGAGAGACTTTCCTCCTCAGCCTGGCCAGAGAGACTTTCCTCCTCAGCCTGGCCAGAGAGACTTCCCTCCTCAGCCTGGCCAGAGAGACTTCCCTCCTCAGCCTGGCCAGAGAGACTTCCCTCCTCAGCAGAGACCCAGAGAGACTTCCCTCCTCAGCAGAGACCCAGAGAGACTT